GATTTGCTGTTTTCTACGTGTGAGAAACAGAGATTGGCTGCTGAGGTACAGAATCTGGGATGGGAGGAGGAAGATAATTGGTGAAGGGCTATCCTCAGCTACACATTCCAATAGTTTATCGACTCAGCAGGGATTGGTGGAACGAGAGACTTGATGGGTGAGATTCATTGGTCATGAAAGCTGGAGCCTTGAAGTATGGTGACTTGGTGACGGGGCAGACCCTTTTTAGTTGTTGGTAGGGGCAGCAAATACATGCCGAGAGTGGAGTTGATAAGGATTAATGCCTGTTAATTTGGGCATTTAATGTCTTCTAATCTTCTCAGGCATCATTGTTTCTCTGGTTTCCAGGTATCTTGCAATGGGTTGTGAGGCCTGCATCACAATTCATTTTGACCCAAACAAGAGCCGGTTGTGTGTCACTGCCTACCATCTCGTACACTCCGGCCACATCTTGGATCCAGAACTTTTACGGCATCTTGGCTTGTCTTTGGAACGATTGGCTCCTGACTGTCGCCAGCGCAGAAGACAGCAACCCATAGCAGGTGGTGTATCAATTGTAGAACAGCAGCTTTTCTCTCTCACCACTGACGAGAAGAACAGTTTACTGATCACTAGATGGAAACAGCTGTCACATGCCATGTTGCGGAGTGGCACAAAGCGTTTCCGTAGACAACTGGACTGGCTGGATCGGCAAATTCAATGTTGGCAGCAAGGGATGGAAGAGGATATAGATATTGATGAGAATTATGGGCCCAATGATGTGCCACTCATTCGGCAAGATGCACCTCGAGAAATTGTGGAGCACTCATATGCCCGTCTACATCTATTCCCAGATCCCCCAGCTGTCCCTCAGGGAGGGACAGTTACCTCAGGCGTCAGCAAAAGAAGCATTGCCACACAAACGTACACCTCCACATGGAGTCCCACCCATGAGACAACTATTCAGACACTGCTGAGGCTTCATGATTTTCACTTACCATCAATTAAGCGGCAAAGACGACCAAAGGGATCATGTGCTGAGGAAACATTCAGTAGGAAGAGGCAACGTACCAAAAGAAGACCAAAGGGAACATGTATTGACAATGTTAATATCATCATCCCTGCTCAGTCCACTGTGCCAGGGCAGCATCAAGGACAGTAAGCATATCATACCAGCAGAGACAATGAGGAAATCCCTGACCAGTTGCAAGGAAGACGCCTCTGCAGCACCTCACCAGTCACAAAGAATATGCCCTGGCTGCGATAAGGATGATACAGCCCCCAACTGCCATGAGTACATTAGCCTTGCCATCAGGAACCGCCCTCTTATACCACCAGGAAGATGTTGGCTTAAGGAGGACACCAGCCCAGCCCATCAGGAAGATGCCAGGCAAGTCAAATCAGCTATGATCTTATTGAATGGCAGAGCAGGCTCGAATGGCCTACTCTTGTTTGTATGATAGTGCCAGGCAATTAATACCTTAAACAAAAGAGAATCCACCCAGATCCGCTTCACATGCATTGGTGATGTGTTTGTATCTTCCCCACTGTCAACATTCAGGGTAGGGAGGTTACCGTAGATCAAAACCTGAACTGGACCAGCTGCATAAATACTGTGGCTGAAAGAGCATGGCACAGGCTGGGAATTCTGATGCGAGTTACTAACCTCCTGTCTCCCCAAAGCCTGGCCATCGTATATGAAATACAAGTGTCTCACTCCTAGACATTCATAGCATGTAAGGACCTTCAACCCATTACCTCCATCAACAGAGATATAACTAAACCATTGGTATTTTCCAGTGCTTGGAACATAGCCCTGGAGGCCATGGCAACCCAATTAAATTTCTAATTACTTCTTCTATATTACAAAAGTGATTTGCAGACAGCCACTATCCTTTGGGCAAAGTTATTTCTGCTCAGTTCCTCTCTTAGCCTTCTGATTCTTAAATCTTTGGCCAGTTCATTGTCCAATCTACTTAAGAGAAAAGTGCCTTCCCCTAGTTATGCCCTTCACAATTTTCTACAACTCTGTCAGCATCCCTCTAAACCTTCACAGATCCAAGGAAAGAAATCCTAACTTATCCAATCTTTCCTCTTAGCTCAAATCCTCCAGCCCAGGCAGCATGCTTGTGAAGCTCCTGTGCACCTTCTCGAATGCAATTATATCCTATAATGTGGGGATCAGAACTGCATGCAGTCATTTAGTTGTGGCCTAACTGATTTTCTAGTACAATTTCAGTATAACCTTTGTGCTTTGGCTAACAAAATCAGTATCCCGTATGCCTTTTCTCATGACTCACCGCAGTAGCAGCTTTGAAATGAAACCCTGCTATTTCGGGAATTGTCAGAAATTATGTGAGGTTGTGGATACTGCCATTCCCATTTTTTTTTCAGTTACTGGTTGAGAGTTTGTTAATTCAATGCCTTTGAAACTGGTTTCCCGTTTTTCTTTCAAGAAGGGCATTAAAAGAGAAAGAGAAGGTAGCAGGCTATGTGGAATGCTATTTTACTTTTTTCCCACACTCCAAAAATAGAGAGAGACATGCTTTCTCCTTCACGGTCTGCTAACAGGTTACAGTCTTCTCTGCTGTAGTCCAAACGTCAATATCTGTCTCAATATTCCAGTCACTTGTTTGAAATGCAACATTTCCTTCCACAGATCATGGTTTAGAGCAGTGTCTTTCTCTTGTTTTAAAGCCACAATCCAAAAGGAGAGAAGATGAGCAAAGTGAGTGGTTTAATACTTCTACCCATGCCCTGCCACATTCAGGAAGCTATGGATATACTCACCAATGTCCCTGTAATCTTCATTAACTTCTAGGATCTCACCTTTTATTCTGTAACCCATTGCCTCATTAGCGCTTACCAGAGTGAATCACCCAGCACCAAGCCCTGAGAAACCCCATTTTATGGGGTTTATCCCCACCACTGAGGTAAGACTGACTGGACTACAATTTCCTCAGCTGTCTCTTCCATTTATTTTTAAATAAAGTTATCATGTTAGCAGTTTTCCAGTCTTTTGGCACCTCATCTGTGGCCAGGGCAGATGTAAAAATTACTGCCAGGGCCCCTGATATCCCTTCCCTTGCCTCCATTGTCACAACATGCTGACAATCGAACCCTGCTACTCCTGGAGTCATCACAAAAGTCGCAGCTTTTTAAAGATAAATGCAAAATCTCCAAACTACCTGGTTTTCAGTACTCACCTGTTTTCTGCCCTTAACCAGATTCAATATTTATCACAGGTTACTAGATTCTAACTACAGATAAACAGTTAAACTCTACAAAATAAACCTCTAAACCCTTTACAAATTCCCCCTTTCACAAACTCACAGATAAATTTAAACAGGAAAATGAAACCCATTGCCCAAGAGAATACTGGGAAAGCAGTTCTGTAGTCTTTATTCACAGAATCTGTTTGGTTCTTGCTGATCCTCAATTTTCCTTTTTCTGAATGCTTCCAGTTGTTTGCAAGAGACACAGGGTAGCTGGTATACTTATGAAAGGTCTATGACTTTCCCAATTCAAAGTCACTACTTGCAGCATCCGTTGAAAGAAAGATGAGCTGATTTTCTTGGGATTAAAATAACTTACTGCAGAGAACTGAGAGAGGTTTTAGCTGTTGCAGATTTGATGGTTTTTCTTCTGGTCTGACCTAGTTTTTCTCAGTCTTGCTCATGACACAAGCATTTCAGATAACTGACAACCTTGTTAACAGGCAGAAGGCCTTTGATCAAAGTCCATACACCAATCAGCTTCACTTGCAAAAATAACCCCTCAACTACAAACTGTCTGCATGTTGCTGGATCCACAGAGTTACAGTGTCCTTATGCTTTACCATATCTATCCTAAAGCTTACTGAGGTATGGTCATTTTCTTTAACGTGCCATCCTACTATTACAGCTTCCACTTGCCTGAGTTGTAAATGTCATCCCTCTGTTTAAGAAAGGAGGCTTCAGATGTGTGAGCCTAACTGTGCAGGCTCCTATGGCATAAAATAGCATGTTTCTTCCTGTAGTTTTTACTTCTAAAATCTTAACTTGAAATATTATCCAGTCATTTACCAGGGACACAAGAGAAAAGTAGAACCAATTGCCTATTCTTCTGTGATGTCTGATACCTTCAGCATTCCTCCATCTCACAGGAAAAGTTCCAAGATGGTGGCAGAGTAGCACTCCTGAGCCAGAGCTTGTCCACTCCATCTGTTTCTTTTTTCTCTCTCTTACTTTTTCTCTTTTAACCTCCTGTCTTTGGGTGGCATCGGCAATGTCTGGGTGGACTTGACTCCCATGTGGACTCAGACTCCCAGTCCCAGGTGAAGCCCAGCACAATCTAGGTTGGAAGGACCTGTCATTCCGAACTCTTTTATTTCTGGATTTATTGCTGGAGTTTTTTATTTCTTTTTCTTTATTTTCCCCCCCCCTAAGAATCTGTACCTAGATACCTCAGTACGTAAGACAGCACCGCAAGTGGTGACTTGTAAACATTTCACCGTATTCATGTGACTACATGTGACAATAAAACTAAATCTAAATCTAATCTGCCACTGTGGCAGTGGTATGTAATATATATGATGCACTGCAGTGACTGGGCAAGACCACTTGAACAGCACCGTCTTAAAAACATGACCTACAAGAGAGCAGACACAGCAGTGCACCACCATCTGTAAGTTCTCCTCAAAGCCAAATGGCATCTTTACATGGAAGTATATCACTGAGACTTCACTGTTATAGTGAGTTGTGGGATCAATGTTCCTTAAGAGCAGTTATTTGGACTGGAGCAATTGAACAAAGTAGCTCACCACCATCTTAAGGACTATTATGGACAGACAAACAATGTTATCATTGGGCGAGGAGCAGAGAGGTGCGGCAGAATTAGAGGGGTGGCGTGCAGGAAGCAGTGGCAGAATGGAGGAGGGGCAGGCAGGAATTCCAGGTTTGTGGGTGACTGGTGAATGTGTTATCGCTGCACATAGTCACAGTCAATTAGTTGGTCTAATAGCTCACTGTCCCACCATTCAGGACCAGTCTGGTGTTGGTTGTGACCTGGTCGTTGGCAAAGGACGTACAGGCACCACTTGCTAAGCTTTTTCTGGTGTACACAAACCTGCTGCTGCTGACCTGCCGTTGAACTGACAGACAGATGCTAAATGTGGTCAAGTGCAACTTAGTGTAAGTATGGGATCGGGATATGCAGACAGCGGCAAACTTGTTGCCAGTTTGACTGTTCGTAAACTGAAGGGAGAATTACATCTCCAAACGAAATCTTATTGCACCCTTCGAAGTGAAATTCTTGGCAAGCATTAGGTAAGAGTAACAGAAATCCTGTAATCTAAGAGTTTGGTTGATTATTTTGTAAGTATGCACTTAGTATAGCTTGTTCATTGTTTCAGAATCTGATGCAACATAGCAGTATATAATGAGGGCAGAATGAGCTTTAAGAGTTAGAGGGCCTGCTCTACCTCCTGTGAGGTTCTGCATGTTCTAGCTCTCCAACTGGAGCTACCCACACGCACACCTCTTCCCTACCCTTTCCGTGTGTGTACTTCACATTAGTCTCAATCTTCTTTAGAAAAAGATGTAAGTTCATGTGCAATCCTGAAGGGGAGAATCAGTGATTTATATATGATTGACTTTTTTTGTCTGTTGTGCTCCATCTGCATACTTCCAGAGCAGCCAATAGTTGGACTGGACCTCATCACAGAAGTATCCATTAGTAAGTCTGGTTCGTGCACCAAACGGGGACAAGGCCTCTGTGTCTTTACCTACCTACCTCCTGTCAGTTGCCGTGTTTGCAGGGTGTTGATGTATTGCAACAGGAGGTATGTCTGAGCTTCCCTTCACAAATTGTTTTACCTTCAGAGCTAGTGCTAGGTTGTCTTAGCATATTGATATTGGTCATCCTCAGGACTGGAAAAAAATGTTTATTTTAAGAATGCATTTTTCTCCCGACAAACACTCCTTAGCTGCAAATTCGCACACTGGAATACTCTGTTTGCCCAAGATGCATTTTTAGCTGAAAGTTTACTCAGTGCACGTGCATAACTATTTGACAAGACATCTGTGGGTGTCAGAGTAGGTGCAGTTTGAGTAATGGAGATGTAACAGCAGATGAAGATGCGTTTTTATGCATCATATGTCTCAATTCACATTTTGTAGCACTTGGACTGTAGCCTTGTATGTTACGGCATTTCACGTATTAAATGTTGAGGTATTGATTAAGCCCCCACTCAACCTTCTTATCTCTGAGGAAAACAGCCCAGTATATCTAGTCTATTCCTGCAAATTTCTGCAAACATTTCCATCAGTGCTATTCATAGGTGAACAGTTTTCCAGTGTGATGCAATGTTGCCAGTCTTTTCCTGCAATTTGTTTCTTATGCAAGATAACCTGCTTGTCTTTTTTCCATGCAGAGCACAGAGTCACCTGAGAACAAGCAGAGAAACAAACTGAGACCAGGAGATTGGATAATATTGCGATGGCATTGTGTGTGAACCTACATGATGATCATAATCATTAAATGTGAACTCATTTGGTTTCTCTTCATTTTGATGACTTGCCCTGTATATGTGTTGTCAAGGATTAAAGAACAGCTTGAGACAATGAAGGGAAATGGCAGTGGCCCTTGAGAGGACTTAGTGCCATGATCAGTCAGCAAATAGGTGGAATCATTTCCACAAAATGTGTGACCACTGTGCACAAAATTATATGACATGGGTCCATTTTCCAAGCTGGAACAGAGGTTATGTCTCTTTACCAATCCTGTTACAGCACATCAACACTTTGGGAATGCAACAGAACAAGGCAACTGACAGGTTATCGTTACCCGTCACCTGTCACAAATTGTATTACTTTTGGAGGTAGTGCTAGTCTCTAGTTCTCTGAGGAGTCAGCATTTCCTGGTTGGGAAAGTCAGGCTGGCTAATTGCACTCTGTGTATGGCGGGGGAAGACAGAGTGCCAAAATATTATACGCCAAGCACAGTTTGGGAAACAGCAGCTTGTCTGCAGTCAGAAGGAAGAACAAAATTAGAACCACAGCCATTCTGAAGCTTAAGATTTCTGCGCAACCTGAAACTTCATGAAGAACACAAACAAGAGCGCCAACAACTAGAACATATCTTTTGAGCTTATCTCTCCATTCATCACTTTTGTGTATAGCTATTGTAAATGAGCTACAATCTGCACCCTCTCCCTATACCCTGCATACAGTAATTGACAGTTAAGATGTCAGTGAAAGAATCAAAAATAGTAATTGTATATGTCTAAATTATGGAGTGTTACAGACCTGACTGCCCAGTTTGTGTACAAATCAATGAGGAATACTTGAGGCTCTGTTGTGGTTTTCATGCAAAGACAGTGATTGAGAAATCCCATTCAATGTCATTGACTGATTCTCCTCATTATTTACTTTGCCTGGAAGTGTGGTCGTTGTGCTGGCCTCTTATTCTCTTTTCTTTCTTATCACTGTTCCCTTTACCTTATTACCTAGTAACCCTGCCCTGTGTTTCCAGTGTGATACTGATCACATGAAAAAGTACTTGTGTACTACAAGATGTCCTCCATTTGTATATATCAGAGTATTATTACTACAAAATAAAGGATTTTCAACTTCTATGCCTTGTTTTATTTCCAGGGTTTACTGTCCAATCACCCCTCTCCATCACACCCATCACATCCCCTTCCTCCAAACTCTAAAATCACATAACCCCACCCCCATATCACAGCCCGTTTCTCCCCATTGCCATCTCTCCCTCTCACAGCACTCCCCTTCCCCTATTACTGTGTGTTTCTCACATAACTGTGCCAAGTCTCAGGCCTTACTCCATAATGTTGTCATGCTTAATTGGCTGCTGTCATTTTTAATATTGGTGATAAACCTTTGTTTAGAAGTGTTTGTGCAGGTAATGGGATACGTGCCTGCATATGTGTGGTGTAAATAAATATAGCCCATCTCTAAATTCCAAGTTACCTTCCATCTCCCTCCGTTTTCACTGTATTTGTATCAATAATTTGTACTTGAGTAAACACCTTTAAGACAGGAAAAGATGTCAGGTGTTTAAATCATACAAAATAATACTTGGCCACTGGAGATAGTAGGAAGCAAAAGCCTGATCAAGGAGGTGGGTTTTAAATAGTACCTTAAAGAAATGAAAGAATCTTAGAATTATTATAGTGTAGGAGGAGGCCATTAAGCCCATTTTGTCAGCTGCAGCTCTCAGCATTTTAGCAAAGCAACTTCCTGCCTTTTCCTTTAACCTACACGTTATTTCTATTTAAATATTCATCTAATACCCTGCTTCAAATGAACCTGCCTCCACCATGCCATATAAAAATGGGTTAGTCGCACATCACGTTTGCTTCTTTTGCCAAAGACTTCTAAACAGTGACTTTGATTCTCTATACTTAGAGGTGGGAAGAGTTTTCCCCCTGTCTACATCCATCAAGAATTTGAAAATGATCATCTCCCCTCAGCCTTCTATCCCAGGAAGGTATGGAGATTTCAGGAGGGAGTTGCTGTGCTTGGAACTCAAGCAATTGAAAAAGCACACTAATGATTGAGTGATTAAAGTTAGGGATATTCAAGAAGAGTGCACAGATCCTGGAGGGTTGTGAGGCTGCAGGAGATGACAGAGATAGGGATGGACAAGGTCATGGAATGATTCAAAAACAAGATGTGAATTTTAAAATTGAAGCATTGTCAGACCCAGGAGTCAATATAAGGCCACAAGCATACAAGAGATTGGTAAACAGGGCTGGTTGCAGGCTAGGATTCAGGAAGATGGTTGAATGAGCTCATATTTATAGACAATGAAAGATGGAAGACTAACAATGGAGGATCATGGTTGTCAAGTCTTGAAGTCATAAAGGCATGGATGCGGGTCTGAGCAACAGGTGAGTACAGGCAGGTAATCCAAATATTAGGACTATGTTCTGAGAAAGGATATCAATCTGAAACATTGATTCTATTAGATGTTGCCTGACCTGCTGAGTATTTCTAGCATTTTCTATTTTAATTTCAGATTCCTAGCTAAGCATCTGTACTTTGTTTTCGAACAGAAATAGGCTACTCTGGCCATTTACGCTGGTGTGTATTATATATCCAACCACCATCTCTTGTGATCCTTAATACTTTACCCAATGAAACTCCCATCACAATTTTGAAATTTTAAATTATATAAGGACGTAATAAATAGCAGGAGTAGGCCATCTGGCCTGTTGACCTTGCTCCACCATTCAATAAAATCATGGCTGGTCTTTTCATGGACTCAGCTCCACTTACCCACTCACTCACCATAATCCTTAATTCCTCTACTGTCAGAGATCTATCAACTCAGTCCTAACCGTTCTAAGGAAGGGTCACTGGACCTGAAACGTTAACTCTGATTTTTCTTCACAGATGCTACCAGACCTTCTGAGCTTTTCTAGCTATTTCTGATTTTGATCTGCTCCCCCTTACTTTGAGGCTATGTCCCCTTGTTCTAACTTCACTTGCCAATGGAAACAATCTCCCTACTTCTATCTTATATATTCCCTTCATAATTTTATATGTTTCTATAACAGGCCCCCTCATTCTTCAAAATTCTTATGAGTATAGTCCCAATCTACTCAATTTCTCTCCAAAAGCCAACTCTTTCAACCCTGGAATCAACCTAGTGAACCTCCTCTGCACCCCCTCCAATGCCAGTGCAGCCTTTCTCAAGTAAGCGGACCAGAAGTGTACACAGTACTTCAGGTGTGGCCTCACCAGCATCCTGTACAGCTGCAGCATGACCTTCTGTGTTTTTAAAGTCCATCCCTGTAGCAATGAAGAACAATATCCCATTTGCCTTCTTAATTACCTGCTGCACCTGCAAACCAACTTTTTGTGGTTCATGCACAAGGACACCCGGGTCCCTCTGCTCAGCAGCATGCTGCAATTTTTCCACCATTTAAATAATATTCCATTTTGCTGTTATTCCGACCAAAATGGGTGGCCTCACATTCATCAATATTGTATTCCATCTGCTAGACCCTTGCCCACTCACTTAACCTGTCTATATCTCTCTGCAGACTTTCAGTGTTCTCTGCACACTATGCTCTACCACTCATTTTAGTGTCATCAATGAACTTTGACACACTACACGTGGTCCCCAACTCTAAATTATCTGTGCAAATTGTAAACAATTGTGGTCCCAACACTGATCCCTGAGGCATACCATTCGTCACTGATTGCCAACCAGAAAAACACCCATTTATCCCCACTCATTGCTTTCCAGTTGATAACCAGCCTTCTATCCAAGCTATACATTACCCGTAATGCCATGTACCTTTAACTCATGCAGCAGCCTTTTGTGAGGCAACTTGTCAAATGCCTTCTGGAAATCCAGATACACCACATCTGTCAGTTCCTCGTTGTTCACCATGCTCATAATGTGCTCAAAGAATTCCTGTAAATTAGTTAAACATGACATGCCTTTTTTGAACCCATGCTGTATCTGCCCAATGAGACAATTTCTATCCAGATGTCTCACTATTTCTTCCTTGGTTATAGATTAAAGCATTTTCCCCACTACATAAGTTAAGCTAACGGGCCTATTGTTACCCTGCTTTAAACAGTGGCATCACATTTGCTGTTTTCCAATCTGCTAGAACAGCCTCAGATTCCACTGAATTTTGGTAAATTACCACAAGCATATTTGCTATTTCCCCTGCCATCTCTTAGTACCGTGGGATGTACTTCATCAGTACTAAGAGACTTGTCTAACTTTAACCTCATTAGCTTGTTTCTGAGCCTCAACATCTTTCTTGAGAATGGGTTCAATTTTCAATAACATCATTTCTGTGCTCCTGACATCACTACTGAATGGCCTGGCTGCACCAGTTCTGTTCACCCCATCACCAGAGGAAATGTTTTCATTTATTCTTTCAGTCACTCACCAGAGCCCCAATTTAGGCCGAGTCCCATTGCAGTACAGGGAGAATGCTGCACTGTCAAAAGTGTCATCTTTGAGATCAGATTAAAAACCTAGGCCCTAAATGACATTATTTCAAAATAGAACAGGAGATATATCCCTGGTATCCTAGTGAATTCTTATTTCTGAAATAATATTGTTGAGATTATTTATTTGGCCATGTTCACTCACTGTAAGATCTTCTCATGCAGAAAGTCATGAAAGGCACCATATAAATGCAAACCTTACCTTTTCTTATTTCCAAGTGTTGCTCTTCCAGTACACGTCAATTATAGATGTTCTCGCTTTGGTCCTGAGGGATTATTGTTTCTTGGGTACGCTGCTAAACCAAGGTCAAATTGACCTGTTTTAGTAGATGGAGGCTTTCCCAAAGCACCAGTTGGAGACTGGGGACGTTCTAGTGGATTTTTTGGGAGAGTGCTCCTCCATATCCAATCCTACTATCTCATCATTAAATAGAACTTCATTATTCACTTCACTGTTGTTCAAGGGATCCATATCCAATTGGCTACTATGCTTGCATATACAACAATGAGTGGACTTCAAAACGCATCAAGTGATATGTGAAGTGCTCTGTGACACTTCTGAGTTGTCTAATATAAATGAGAATACTCTCTATCCTCACACCAAGTTGTGTATTCATAAGACAAGATGCTACAAAAAATTCTAATAAAACTTTATTAAAAAAAATATCCAAATTGTTCACCAAACAGTGATAAACAACAAAAACTCTTTATTCAAACTGTCCGTTTGGATGTTATAAATTATACATTTATTTGCTTATAAACCAAAGAACACTGAGGTCTAAAGTCAATATAAAAAACCCATAAATATTAGTCATAATAATTCAAACCGAACATTTTCCAATATGGGTGGGAGGCGTGGAGAGGTTGCTGGGGGGGGGGAGCGGTGGGAAGGGGGTGGTGGTTGACATCATAATTGGCAATTAGCCAGTGTTGAATGGGATGTCGAGTCAGCAGTGTGATGACTATCCAGAACGAGTGGGTCGGATGCCGAGAGCAATATTTCTGTGTAAGCTGCCCATGTCTGCAGGCACACAACAACCCAGAAGGTACAGTACATGCTGCCCAGAATTTGTCCTCTTTTAAGATTCAACTGAACAAATAATTTAGAGGGGATAATGACCAGGAACAGATTGTGGATTCCAATAGTTATTGATCCCTACTGGGGAAGGAGCAGGGAAAATTCAAGATCAAAATCATTCTGGATTTCCACCATGATTACAATCCAGTGATCCTTTCAGGAAAGAACATGTACTGGAGAATTATGATGAAGACACAAATAATCTATGCTGTGAGGCATTCAATGGTCAAACAACCAATTAAACATTCACCATGAGCACAGTCTTAGTATAGTTTGGCCGCTCTGCAAGTACTCCAAACCTCAGGGATCAGCACCTTCTGTATAAGTGTGTGTTTCTATTTCTGGGAAAGGGGACCACAAGTGGGGTTGACTCTGAACCAGTGCTGATCAGAATTAAGCCTGCTGAAATCCATTTCTGTTCACCGTCATTGTCCTCCTTGATCATTCTACAATAGAACAAGTGGTTGATTCAGAAATAATTCAGCTGACCCAAAGCTACAACTGTTGCATTGCACTATGGACTTTCACAACATAACTGCTTTCTCTGCTTTAAAAC